TCATATATCCGGTTAGAATCAAAGCTCACGTGTCCCTTATTTGAGGGACCAGATTCTGCCGTAAATTCGGGATGGGATTTAAAAAAAAAATAGGACTTTTAAGGTGTATTTTGGCGTCATTTTCGGACATTTCAATCATTCCTGAATGATGCGTGAATTGAATGAACTATGACCCGTACAATCTCGATTTGCATATTGTCAATCAAAGGTCCTGTTATTTGGTTACTCATGCAAATTAGGCAATTGGACATAAACATTGCCACGTGTGAGTGTTTTTTATTTTTAACCAGAAAATAAACAGCAATTTTAATGGTGTTCCAATAAGAATTCATTGGTCAAATTTTCACAGAATGTTCTTTAGATAAAAATCAATATAAAAAACGAAAAAAACTATTTTTGATTAAAATTCACAAATAAACTGCATCTCTACCTTAATTATTTTAACTTTTATTTTAAATATTTCAATGTAAAATTACTCTGCTTTGAAAAAGTGAAAAAATATACACTTTATTTTTGCAATCACGTCTAAAATACGTATTTTGAGACATTGACCTCTGACCTGGCAGCCATTTTTTTTGTCAAAGCATGTCGTCCGTTTGTTACGAACAAAGTGGAAAAAAGAATTTAATTGTTTTCTTTACTAATGGAATGCTGGTAAATCACATTACCGGTAATAGTGAAAAATAAGTATTTCTTGTATCGCTGACTGAATATAGCTTATGAATTTAATTTTATGAACGAGTCATGAAGCCAAAAACATCAATGAAGTTTACTACACTCGAGCGCAAGTGCAGATTAAACGAACGACAGCTTGACGCATCGCTGCCAGTGAAGTGAGCAAGTTATTGTTCAACTCGACAAATCCCACACACAACTAAACTTGCAATGGTAATCCTTCCTTCTGTTTATTTATTGTTGTCTTCCCTTCCATTATCTTGGTGTACGACTTATTCTGATCTGGTTCGTTTGTTAAAACTAACAGAATGTCAATCGGAGGTTAAAACAAAAACACATTAGGCCGATGTCACACGTTTACGTTGATTTTGAACAGCGGTGTCTTCTTTCATTAAAGTTTTGTTGTGTGCTATTTTTTGCATTGTGGTGTTGCGTGTTAAAACCAACAATGACAATAGAATGATGGTCCAGTGGCCGACATCCTGTGTGTATCATAAACAAATAGAATAGTGCCGGTCGCCAACTTTTTGTCCTGGACAGAAATTCTGAGTGCCGGTCGCATGCCCATCCTATATTTACAATAGTCTGTTACTGGTATGGCACATGCACAAGGAACTGCAGTTCTGCAAGACGGCTATCACATTTGCCAAGTAATTTTTTCAACAAAATCATTGCCAAATGATTGTAGTACAACACTGCGTTGTGTTGTGTTAACCATCCCACACTATTTGGAAATTCATGAGTACATTCGGCTGGCACGCCCCAGCATTCTGATTGGTCAAATGATCCTGTTTAGCATTGTTCTTGATATCTTGCACCCAGTGTCATGACTATCAGGGGTTTTCCTAGAAAAAAAAAACTGCAAGAGGGAGCACAGCAATTCAGCGGCGCCACTAAGTGGGGGAGATAGGGTTCTCCCTACCAGGGTATGGAGTTTTTGATAATTCTAAGTTAAAATGGAACATTTCATGGCTTCCTTAGGCCAAAATTACTATCAGTCAGGTCACAGTTGAAGACTGTGGCCACATGTGATCTCTGGACAATCAGAATTTTATGGTTGCAAGAGGATCTGCTTCCTAGGGTAAGGGAGTGCATGGCCATGGCATGAGGGCGCTGCACCCATTCAAAAAAATCCCTGACTATTGTATTTAGGCTTAAGGTAGAGATGCAGTTTATTTGACTTGCTTTTTAATTGAGTAATTAGACAATGAAGATGGTATTATATATCCAACATGTTATATATTTTCTGAAAGCTTATTATACAAACTTTGTAAAACTTGTCTTTATTTTAAATATCCAGAATGCGTTTTTGATTTTGGGTCAAAAATATGCTTTTTTGGACAAAAGTGGTTTAAAAAAAATTAGCTTAAAAACTTCAAGTCCGTTTGTGGGTAA